ATATCATGTGTGATTATTTTTTTCTCTCTCTCATTTCAGGTAAGTGTAGCAAGCGTTTAAAGATGCGTGATGATTCCGAGAGACGTTGGTGAGTACACTTGCGCACGCACGCCCAGGTTCCTCCGTCTTCAGAGCCATGTGCTGTGATTTCCCTCGTTCTTCAGGGAGGTGTGTGTGTGTGTGTGTGTGTGTGTGTGTGTGTGTGTGTGTGTGTGTGTGTGTGTGTGTGTGTGTGTGTGTGTGTGTGTGTGTGTGTGTGTGTGTGTGTGTGTGTGTGTGTGTGTGTGTGTGTGTGTGTGTGTGTGTGTGTGTGTGTGTGTGTGTGTGTGTGTGTGTGTGTGTGTGTGTGTGTGTGTGTGTGTGTGTGTGTGTGTGTGTGTGTGTGTGTGTGTGTGTGTGTGTGTGTGTGTGTGTGTGTGTGTGTGTGTGTGTGTGTGTGTGTGTGTGTGTGTGTGTGTGTGTGTGTGTGTGTGTGTGTGTGTGTGTGTGTGTGTGTGTGTGTGTGTGTGTGTGTGTGTGTGTGTGTGTGTGTGTGTGTGTGTGTGTGTGTGTGTGTGTGTGTGTGTGTGTGTGTGTGTGTGTGTGTGTGTGTGTGTGTGTGTGTGTGTGTGTGTGTGTGTGTGTGTGTGTGTGTGTGTGTGTGTGTGTGTGTGTGTGTGTGTGTGTGTGTGTGTGTGTGTGTGTGTGTGTGTGTGTGTGTGTGTGTGTGTGTGTGTGTGTGTGTGTGTGTGTGTGTGTGTGTGTGTGTGTGTGTGTGTGTGTGTGTGTGTGTGTGTGTGTGTGTGTGTGTGTGTGTGTGTGTGTGTGTGTGTGTGTGTGTGTGTGTGTGTGTGTGTGTGTGTGTGTGTGTGTGTGTGTGTGTGTGTGTGTGTGTGTGTGTGTGTGTGTGTGTGTGTGTGTGTGTGTGTGTGTGTGTGTGTGTGTGTGTGTGTGTGTGTGTGTGTGTGTGTGTGTGTGTGTGTGTGTGTGTGTGTGTGTGTGTGTGTGTGTGTGTGTGTGTGTGTGTGTGTGTGTGTGTGTGTGTGTGTGTGTGTGTGTGTGTGTGTGTGTGTGTGTGTGTGTGTGTGTGTGTGTGTGTGTGTGTGTGTGTGTGTGTGTGTGTGTGTGTGTGTGTGTGTGTGTGTGTGTGTGTGTGTGTGTGTGTGTGTGTGTGTGTGTGTGTGTGTGTGTGTGTGTGTGTGTGTGTGTGTGTGTGTGTGTGTGTGTGTGTGTGTGTGTGTGTGTGTGTGTGTGTGTGTGTGTGTGTGTGTGTGTGTGTGTGTGTGTGTGTGTGTGTGTGTGTGTGTGTGTGTGTGTGTGTGTGTGTGTGTGTGTGTGTGTGTGTGTGTGTGTGTGTGTGTGTGTGTGTGTGTGTGTGTGTGTGTGTGTGTGTGTGTGTGTGTGTGTGTGTGTGTGTGTGTGTGTGTGTGTGTGTGTGTGTGTGTGTGTGTGTGTGTGTGTGTGTGTGTGTGTGTGTGTGTGTGTGTGTGTGTGTGTGTGTGTGTGTGTGTGTGTGTGTGTGTGTGTGTGTGTGTGTGTGTGTGTGTGTGTGTGTGTGTGTGTGTGTGTGTGTGTGTGTGTGTGTGTGTGTGTGTGTGTGTGTGTGTGTGTGTGTGTGTGTGTGTGTGTGTGTGTGTGTGTGTGTGTGTGTGTGTGTGTGTGTGTGTGTGTGTGTGTGTGTGTGTGTGTGTGTGTGTGTGTGTGTGTGTGTGTGTGTGTGTGTGTGTGTGTGTGTGTGTGTGTGTGTGTGTGTGTGTGTGTGTGTGTGTGTGTGTGTGTGTGTGTGTGTGTGTGTGTGTGTGTGTGTGTGTGTGTGTGTGTGTGTGTGTGTGTGTGTGTGTGTGTGTGTGTGTGTGTGTGTGTGTGTGTGTGTGTGTGTGTGTGTGTGTGTGTGTGTGTGTGTGTGTGTGTGTGTGTGTGTGTGTGTGTGTGTGTGTGTGTGTGTGTGTGTGTGTGTGTGTGTGTGTGTGTGTGTGTGTGTGTGTGTGTGTGTGTGTGTGTGTGTGTGTGTGTGTGTGTGTGTGTGTGTGTGTGTGTGTGTGTGTGTGTGTGTGTGTGTGTGTGTGTGTGTGTGTGTGTGTGTGTGTGTGTGTGTGTGTGTGTGTGTGTGTGTGTGTGTGTGTGTGTGTGTGTGTGTGTGTGTGTGTGTGTGTGTGTGTGTGTGTGTGTGTGTGTGTGTGTGTATGTTTGTGAGAGGTAGTCCCCGCGCAGCTTGCAGTTATGGTAACTGGCAACCATCTGCAGTCACGATTGGCCACTATCTATAATTACCATTGGCCATTGTCTGTAGTTATGGCAGACTGTTAGTTATGGCGGGTCATTGCCTGTAATTATCATTGGCGGCTGCCTTGACTTAGGAGACTTTTCTCTTTCTCTCTCTCTCTCTCTCTTGCCTCTCTTGTTATCGCGGCTGTGGTGTTCTTGTGATCGATTTGGCGTACTGTTGAAAAAGGATTACTACTTAGTACTTGTTGATAAGAAAGCGTTAAAAAAGTTGTCCGCTATATGCTGGGAAGATTTTCTTCTATAACAGATGAAGCCTTCTGTATTTGGTCAATACATTATTTGAGTGATTTGTTGTGCTGTAGATTTGAACGGTTCCTGAGGTCGTTATGGTCAGTTCATCTTCGGGCATTTTCAAAGCCATATTCATTTGATTCTATATTTCAAAATCTCTAACGAGGGAAGAGAACGAATCAGAAGAAAATTGCCGTTGCAATTAGAGATAACGATGCAAATCTAAAAAATAGTGTTTGATTAGAATATGTAAAAAGCCAATCGGGATTGGATGATAAGAGGGACGTGTTGAGGTTCACTTCCTTCGCACGGTACCGTAAACCCGTATTAAAATTCCTCTAGTAATCCCCGATGTGGAGGTGGAGAGTTGCCGTCCGGGGAATAAAGAGATCGATTTTCCCCTTCTTTTCATTATAGCGTTTTATCTCCGTAAAGATCATCTCGGGGAAGAAGGTCGTGCTTGTGGCGGGAAGACGGTGAGAGAGCGAGGACGGTTCCGTACCTTTTTCCCGCCGGTGTGCGGTATGTGGTATCTGGCAAGGCATAAAGAGAAATGGTAAGGTGTACCGTAGCGGGAGTACGGGGATGGGAAGGGTGGGGGGTGAGAGCGAGAGTGGAGTTTGTGTGTGTGTGTATGTTTGTGAGAGGTAGGTCGGCGCGGCTAGGGGTGTTTGGGGTGCATGATGAAAGCACTCTGGTGACTCTGTTGGCAACACTGGCTGGTCTGCCTTGCGCTGCTTGCTCGCTTGCTGTCCCCGCTACCACCGCCACCGCCACGCCTCCACACTCTCGCTTGTATGTCTCCACATTGCTACATCTCCACTTCTCTTCAGCTTTTTAACTTTACACTTTGAACAGTACCGTCGCCCTACCTTTTAGCTTTAGTAGCGCTACGATCTCTACTACTGTATCAGTAGGCGGTGTTCTGCTCCCGCTACTCTCTTTAGTGCATCATCACTATCCTTTACGCTTTTCTGTCACTACACCTGCCGCCAAGTGTACACTGCTACACCACCGTACTTTATGCTTTATACTTTAGGCTTTAACGCATTTGTAAAGCATTCGTCAGTTCTGTTGTAAGCTCCCTCGCCGATACACTGACGCTTCCATACCCGCCACACTTCCTCCTTATCCATCCGCAGCGACTGGCCTCTACATTTTTACGAGTGGACTCCATCGCTATACTTCCCCAATACGGCATGCACGGAACACACAGTACAATTCGCCGTACCTCTACATCACCGCAAACTATGCACGAGCCGTAAAGACGTCAGCACACTGTGTTCTCCGCGTGTATTATTCCTCCCGCGGGGATAATCTCGGCTTATTCAGAGTTTTAGATGTTAGGTATTTCCAATTTTCCGAAAAATTTCCGCCGTGTGGATTGCGAGATGTGAGCTAAGATTTATACTGAAGAATATGATGTTATCCTAAATTTTCGCTCGTAATAAGAGCATTTGGAACTGCTCTGTGCAGAGAACTTGTACAAAAAAAGTTGGAGGGTCGGGGTTATATTATTCGGGAAAGACTTTTTTCTTCCTTTTTTCTTTTTCTTTCATTCCTCATTTACGGACAGGAGGCATTTTTTGTTTGTGTGTTATTTGTTTTCTCGATTGAAAGGGACATTTTCCCTTGTAGTTGACTGTTTCTTTAGAAGGAGAGTGGACAGCAGTCTGCCATTTAACGCTTCAATCTTTATCATAGGACAATCGTACTTAATGATCCGGTTTAGTATTTTGCCACAAGTCTGAGCATGGCACGTGCAGGACCCTTCTCAAAATAATAACTAGTAGTTTGATTCGGTATAACAGTACTACCGTATTCTGTAGCGCTAAACCAATTCGTGCATGGTATACCAATTCAGTAGTAAATTGGTCATACCTGTAGCTCCACGTCACCAGTTTTGATATGCACACCTTTTATAGTACCTTCATAAAATACACGCTGCTATTAACTGTAACGTTGACTCTCATAGATATAGCTCCCCCCCCCCCCCCCCACAAATTCTGCCTAACCATATCCCCAGATAGGGACCTTTTTTGCCTCAGGTGTTAAAGGAAGCCATCACGGCACCATAGCAACTAAAATTTGTGTTAGGACATCACCATACCGCCAGTCACGTTAAATAGTTCACCTCATCGGCGTCACTGCTTGGCACTGTACTGCCTCTCCCCCCCTCTCAACAAGCTACTACAGCACACCCACCATACGAAATCACAAAGAAACTCACCCTCTCTCGGCGTAATATTCACTCTGCATCTCGCCACATATCTTTTTATTAGGATAAATTACGGTCCCTCTTTTCTCCACATGGTCAAGTGCTTGTATGGACATTGCTAGAAGTCTGCAATTTGCAAAAGTGTGCGCGCGCATTTTGTGTGTGGAGTGGTGTCGGTGGGAGGGGGAGAGTGGAGGGGGTGGCGGGGAGGTGGTGGTGGTGGCGGTGGTAGAGATGGCGGCGGGAGCAGCAGTGGCAGCGGCAGCGTAGTGTGTGGTGGTGTGTCCGTCAGTGTGGCTGGTGTAGTGGAGCGCGCCTCACGTGCCGCAAGGCTGCTGCCGCCCCTCATGATCTACCTTACTTCCGCCCTCAACACGCCCACACCTGTGCTACCTGCCCACGCCCGCCTTGCCCTCACATCCAGCGTCCAGTTGTCCTCATCAGCACAGGTCACAGAGCGGTAGCGCACGCTGGTTCGCCGGACGCAGGGTTCCGCCCCCTGCAGGCGCCCCCCTCCCTCCTTGTTGCCAGGGTGCTGTGTCCTGCCTGGCCATGCCACCATGACCGCCTCCGTCAGCTGACTCTGGTGTGGCCCCTGAGACGGGCATCCCGCTCCTACTGGAGACAGAATGTGAACCCGAGTCTGTCAAGTCCCCTGTATTGATCCGAGGAAGGTGTTGGTGGTGGTGGCGGTGAGTGCGGCGCGACCCGGCGGTGTTGGTGTAGTAGTCTACGGGAATCCTCAGACCCGGCTCGGGCCTTACGCCTTGTGCTAGCTCCTGAGGAAGTGACAGCACCAAGCTAGTCCTACCACAAGCCCGTGCTGGGGCTCCGTGCCCGGACTCGACCCCACTTTCCATGGACACGCAGCCGAGGCCGGTGCTGGAAGTAGTGAACCAGAGAGTGTGTCAGCTCTGTCGTGCCCAAGCTGATGATACTAGTGGCTTCCGCGAAGGATGGTGTAGGGTGTAGTGTCGATTGTTGTACCCTTTGAGGGTGTGTGTGCCAGCATGGCGTACGGTGGGCGGGGGCGCGGTGGTTATGGTTACCGGGGTGCAACAGCCTCCCCTCCTGGAGGCGCTGCCCCCCGCAGGACCGACTCTGATGAAGACTACGAGGAAG